CTCAGCGAGGCCACGTTGCAGAGGTCACTGGGGTGCGTTGGAACTGCTGCTTGAACGTTATGTTTCACCCTCGTCTGTGCGACTTAGCCATTTGCGCCGGAAGCAAACACACAACACACTAAATTGCAAATGGACTCTTCGACAATAGGTCAGCTACGAGTAAGAGCTTTCCCAGCGCGCCGGGCCTTGGCATGGAGCCGAAAAAGCCAACGTTTTACGGGCCCGTGCCGGTGCTGATGATCGAGAAGCAGAAGAAGACGCTGCCTCCTCCACTCCATATGCGCATATCCACAGCGGCGCCGCCGGCACTCGTCACAGGCGTCAAGAAGCGGCTGCCGCCTCCACTCCATATGCGTACATCCACAGCGCCACTCGCACCCGTCGCAGCCGTCGTCAAGAAGAAGCTGCCGCTCCCCTACCAGAGCCCTAGCTCAGAGGCGTCGTCTGATCGATTCGGGCGGCTGATGCAATTTGTGCTTAAGTGTCTCAAGGAGGCTTGACTAGAGGCTCGGCAGGATCCTCGAAGAAAAAGTGTAGGCCTTGCGGCGTCAGGACCAGCAAATCTTTGTGTCAGATTTCAAGCCCGTATACACTCCAGCTTGACATATTTTGCGTGGTACCACTGCTGCTGCTCGGATGCCGGAGTTTCAGGAGCTACAAGAGTAACAGCAAAGTCTCCACCTCGGATTCGTCACGTGAAGACTCCTATTCCCGTCGCCTCGTGCACCGTGGAATTGGCAGTCACGGTTAGCAGTCTGTCCGAAATCTCTTTTCAACGGAAACAAGCAGTTCGCTAGAATGTAAGGCCTCAGAGAGGCGTGCGGCGTATTCCTAGCCGATACGTTGCTTTTGTACCTGTGCCATGATGCCAAGCGCTCGGGAAGCGGCTGCAGAAAAGCGGCATTCAAGCACTGCGGACGCGGCCGGGCACAAACTAGACCGGTCTATACTCTAGCTTGCATATAGTCTACTGTATATGTTTATTATTAGAGCGTTTAGAAGGCCTAATACGTGGCGTTTTTGACTCCATGTCGTCTCGCCAGGTGTTCGTCGATTTACAGCCCACCAAGCTGGAGTGGACCCCTGTGCCAGAAGGGGGGCAGAAGCCAGAGTCGGCTTCGCAGCGATCACGGCCGACCACACCACGTTATTTGCGCGAGTGTCGCATTGAGGGTGCAGAGGCCCAAACCGAGACGGCACCACGGACACCGCGGGTGGCTGCAGCAAGACAGGAGGTACGAGCCCGGACAGTACCCGATGCAGAACTACACGAGGAGCGCACTGGTTTCGAGCTGCAGGAACTAGCGGCGAGAATACGGCGGGCGCACGTGCATGTGAGTGCAGAAGACCCGTGGTGGTGCCGAGTTTTGGATGTCAGGTATAGCACCGTCACGGAGCGGATTTTGGAGACGACGAGGCGAAGCTTGGCGCTCAAGCTTCATCCCGACAAGGTCTCGAAAAACATTGCTGGCCGGGATCTTATCATACAAGCTTACCATGCCGTTGACGAAGCTTACAATCTTGGCAAGCTTCACTTGCAGGCGACGAGGCCGACACGTTTTCTGTGATCTCTTCTCCTTTGCTGCTGCTGAAACGAGCAGCAAGTGCAGATAGAATATATGTCGGTGAATGGGCTCCTCCAAGCCTCAGTGCTGCCTTTTCGGCAGAATACACCATTCCTTTATATAAGGCGGCACCTGATAAGGGCTTTATGCGTTTACGGAACCTCATGCTGCCTTTTACCGCCCCGATGTTTTCGTTTGACATCATGCCTTGGCAGAGAGCTCCCAAAGGCGATGCAACATATCAGCGGCCTAAACGACCATTTGTCTCTGCCAGGTAGCAACATGCTTACTTCGCGTCGGTTTGTCTAAGAAATCCGAGTGGCATTTGTGCCGTTTAGGTAACAACAGATGCAAGGGTCAAGTGACATATGTGTGCCCGAACTAGACCGATAATTTTTTTGGTTCGACTTTGATCTCTACGTTTCGTAGAATACCGGCAAGCTGCAGGCTGCAGCTCTGGTCGCTTAAATAGAGCCTCTAACTAGTGCTGCAGGAGTTCGGGGAGTTCAAGCGCCTGGACACCTTCAACTGGTGCTGCAGGAGCTCCAGAATTTGCGAGACGCGCGACGGCTCCGACTTCTGCTGCAGGAAGTTCGGGATCTGCGAGACCCCCGACGGTTCCGCCTGGCCCTGCAGCATTTCCGGGATCTGCGAGACCCGCGACTGCACAGCCTGCGTCTTGGACTGGTCCGGAATCTGCGAGACCCCCGACGGTTCCGCCTGGCCCTGCAGCATTTGCGCGGCCAACAGCAAAGCCTCCGCCTATGATGCGTCCTTTTACAACACATATTCCTGCAGAAGTTCCTGCAGAGGTCATACCAGCACGTGAGCCAAAGTATACAACGGAGATCACTCTTCCCGGAGATGGTGGTAGCTGGCTCATGATCATGGTCTGCGTCGACTGCCGCAAGACAGTGATCACGCCACCTGGAATGGGAATTTCCCAGTCATGTGGGCCAATAGGCACGGATGGTACAAGACCAAAGGCCGAAATTGGAAAGAGACATGTCGATGCCCTAGTTGTCATGTGGCTTTCTGGGGGCTGTAGGCTGGCACGCTTCTGGGGGCGAGGACTCGTCTGGTCGCTTCTGGATTTATTCTTTCCGGCCGGTCAAACTGGATCCGGACGTCTTCAGACCGGACGCTCGACGCTCAGCCCTGAAACTCACGAATGCAATGGGAAATTAAATGTCCATTCTGGTCAAGGCGACCCGTTATGAGGGTTGCCAGGTACCGGCTTGTCCTCTTCTAGCCCAAGTGTCCTCTAAGTTGAAGACTCTAATTCTCGTCGCCTCGTGCACTCTGGAATTGGCAGTCAAGAATGGTATCGCTGTCCTCTAGGTGAAACCGTTCCGGCACACGGATTGTCGATGTGGTCCGTCTTCTGCAGACAAGTCGCTTTGCGCGAAAAAGCCGCATGCATATCAGTTACCGAAATCGTATCGCAAGTGCTCTCTAGGTTTAAAACTCCAATTCCCGTCGCCTCGTGCACCCTGGAATTGGCAGTCAGGAGCGGTATCGTTGTCCTCCAGGTGAAACCGTTCCGGCACACAGGTTGCCGATGTAATCCTTCTTCTTCTGTGGGTTTAACAGGATGGGAGGACGAGCAGGTTTCCTATGAGCATGCCAGGGTCTCTGCCAACTCGATGACTGCATGACTGTGGCCCCTGAATGAATCACAGGGATTTAGATATCTGACGCTGTCT